TAATGGCAGCTGGAGGAGAAGCTCAATTTAGGTCTTTATGAAAACAACAAAAACTGGGTGGTGCACACTTTGCAGTGGTGCACACCTGCAATCCCAGGACTTGGAAGGCTGAGGCAAGAGGATTGCTGCATGTCCAAGGCCAGCCTGGACTACATAGTGAGTTAGAGGAAGCTCCAACTCTACAGCAAGACCCTGTCTCAAAGGAAAACAAAAAGAAAACAACAGAAGGTAATCAGGATTGACTCAGCTCACATAAGAATTATATACATTTTATGATAATTATATGCATTTATGATAATTATATACATTTTCTTCATTCACTGAATAAGTATTTGTTGGCACAAAAAATACCTTGGGAAGAATGCACCACACATGTCATATTCTGTTGAGAAATTCAGAGACTAAAAACTGATTTAATTTCATTTATAGACAATTTCAGATTATGTATTTTAAAGCATGAATGTTATGCTGTGGAATAGGAACATTAATATAAATTATTCCTTACTAAGAATTGCCAAACAAATGAATCACCTTAGCTAAGTATGGCCAGTAAAATGTTTAATTTGGCTGCCTTGTGTGTTATCTAGTTTTTGACTTCTTTCTTTTGTTTTTCTTTTTTATTTTGTACCTTTTCTTGTTGGCACAGGCTCCCATCTAGGCGAATGCGACACTGCTGAGCCACATCCTGGTCCAATCTTCCCCTTTTTATAACAACTTTATCATGGTTCCTCTACCAAAAATGACCCACATATGAGATTTTCAATAATGCAAATTAATTTCAAAGAATGTCTCTTCTTTCTCCTCAAGACATTCTGCAAAATGCCGGTCATTGTCAGGAGGCATTGTATTATTCCCCTGGATGCTGCAGGGGTGGAGTTCTATGCTGCTGCCATGGTTACAGCATGGAAGGGGGCCTTCCTACCTGAGCCCAATCCCATGATGCTGTTCAGCTCCAGTGCAGACTCAGGGTCTCCGCCACTGTCTTCTCTGCCCACACCCACAGTTTCCTGCTTACCCGGGAAACTCACTGGCTTCACCTCACTGGCTACATAAGCTTCAAATTTCTTAACTGATTTTCATATGAACTCTTCAAGATTAAGAATGGTGACATTTTTGAAAGTTAATAATTTAAGTCCACTTTAAAGAATTTATCATTTAAAGTGTGTTGGAATACCCTCAGAGATAGTAGCAATGCTTTTTTAAAGAAAAGATGCTAGAGGCTGGATGCTTATCTCATGTATACATGAGGCCCTAGACTCCATCCCTAGCAAGGGAAGGACGGAAGGAGAGGGGAAAAGAAAGAGAAAACAAAGGAAAAGAATGGAGTCTTGAGTACTGGCAAGCATTAGATATCAATACACAATAAACTCAAGCACGGTGTCTACATGTTGTATTCATAAACCAAAACTATACGTATAGAAATTGTTGTAATACATGGAGAGCTGAGTGGGTAACCAACAATCTATTGAAACAACTGTTTTTTGTTTAACAACCTACCTGTTTACTGACTGGACTTACCTTGTCTATACAGTGTTGTCATTCTGTAAATGGTACTGTACTCTAGGGTAGTTTTACGTTCTGTTGCACATTACAGTACTGCATGCAAGTGTTATGCAAATAATAGCAAAGTTATGGAGTTGGAATTCTTTTGTTCTGAATATTGTGATGTATATATTATATACAATTCCTCATTTAGCAACCAATTCAGTTAACTAGTTGCAGACGCATAACTCCTAAACCAGGAATAGTTGTTATTTACTTTGTAACAATTCTTTGGGTCTAAAGTGAAAATTTTTTTTTCATTTCAGTCAGTGTTTGCCAATGATAAGATCACTTTTTCAGAAGATGGATGTTGTTGTCAAAATTGTTGAGTAATGGAATGAAAGGTCCAGTGATATTTCCTTTTTTGCATTTCTGAAATGTTCCAGTTTCATGCCTGAAGTTGACAACAGTCCCTCTGAGCCTCACTTTTGTTCTTTCCCTCTGATCAGTAACACCTTTCCTGAGGCTTGCCATGACCAGTATCACATGCAGCTTCTGGGGAGCTTAATCAGATTAGTGGTATTGTCAAGGTGCTCAGAGGCATGTCTGAACCTTGAATCTGGGGGAAAATAATTATAGAGCTAAAAAAGTTGAAATAGTTACATCTTGCTAAGTAAACTGTAATATAAAAGTCCAAATAAACTTGAGGTCAATATAATAGAATTGTCCAAAACTTAAGTCACATTTGGACACTGAAATTTTGTTATATACAATTTTAAATGTCATTTTTATGTTTCCACCCATCTTTTTAGGGGTGTCTGTGTTTTAAGATCACAAATCACTTCCTGTATTCCGGTTTAACAACTAAAGTATTTTCACGTTCAAAATTTACAAGGAATGGGGACATTTTGACTTTTTTATTCCAGCCTGATCAGGAACGGAAACAGCGGAAATATTGCAGCTCAGGAGAGTCTCTGGTTTAAACTGTTTAACGCACGGGTTCTGACAACTGGAAAAGCTTAGGCAGAAAACATGTCAGCAGCTTGCATGAGGACAAAAGGCGAGAAGCAGGGGCCTCCTGCTCAGGCAGGACACACCGTCCTGTCCTCACCTTGCAGAACCGCGTCCCTTACAAATCGCTGCATCTACTCAGCTCTGAAGCGTCCCAGACACATTCTTCAAGCATGAATTGACCAGGCTTGACTCTGCCTGAGGCCTCGGTGTCCCTAACCTTCTGCGTGGGTGCAGGAAGCCCAGAAGCAGACCATGGTGTCCCCCTGGGACTGCTGAGGGCGTGGACAGAGCTGAACAGAACGCTTTGCTAGCGTGGTCTCCGCGGTCATCGCCGAGAAACGCGTCCTCACCTGGAATTTCGAGAACCGAGGGAGGGCTCCACCGCGGGTCAGAGGTCTGGCCTTGCATACACCCAAGTTCCCCCCCACCGGAATCGGAGCACGTCTCCGTGTAGATAGTCTGAAATCCCTTTCAGAAACGCTGCCACCCAGTGGCGCTTCGGAGCTATGACCAGAGGGGCTCAGGGCAGGGGCAGGGTTCTCAGCACCGAGGGGCTCCAGCCAGGTCTCCTCCCAAGCTCTGCGTCCACGCTGAGCCATCCCGGTGGGCGCAGGGCGAGCGCCAGTGACACCTCGGAAACCTTGTTTCTAGTTCTGGGGGGGCTTCCCTCCACTTACTTAAAGCCATGACAAGTTTATGGGGCGAATGTGTTTGGAGGAAAAGGAATGGTTTTAAAGGCAGAAGTCAGCTTCTGAACTTTACAGCCTGCGTGTTTTAAACTTAAGAGAAATGGATTCGATTTTAGTAACAACCCCCGAAACAGTTAGATCAGTTCATTTGGAATGCATGCAACTCAAAAGAGACAAATTCCTCACATACAATGTTCATAAAACGTATGGATTAATCATACTGCTGCCGATGTAAGAAATCATTTATTCTGCATTTATGCTAAAAGCAGTATTTGGCAAACAGGACTGACACTTTGGAACCAGTGTAATAGTAGGATCAATTATCTCTAATCATAATTCACATGCAAGGCTTACCATGCAGGCATAAGGCAAATGAATAATGTAACAACCATCTCCTACCTGAAAAGGGTAAATGAAGCAAGTAAATAATCTTCAGGTAATACTAAACATTTAAAATAGATCTGGAGGGCTGTAACCCCTGAATTCTGCTCTAATATTCAGACTTCCTCTGCAATTTTCTCTCATTTGCCTGCCTTTTAAACACTTAGCAAAGTGTTTCTTTTGTAGACATTGACTTTTTTCTCAATGAGTAATTACATATCCTTGGAGAGAAACTTGAAAAAGACAATTCAGAAACCGAGTCTACTCCTTTAGAGGTGTGAATTACGCTTTAATATGCACAATTTAAAGATCTTACACCTCCCCGCCTCCTAATAACCTATTCTATTTAAAGACATAACAAATCATGATCATCTGCTCCTGCTACGAACTTCAGCAGACCCTAACAGATGCACACAATCCCCAAGCCTTTCAGGTTATTTGTATCTAACACTACACGTGCCAAGTATATAATTTTTTTCTGTATACTAATTCACTGAATCTTCTTCACAGTCTTGTGAGCTGGATGATCATGTGTGCATTTTACAGATGAAGAAACAAATGCAGGCAGTTTACATGGTTTGCCCAAGGTCTTACAGGTCATTAAGGACAAAGCCAAGGTCTGCTTCTAGAAGCTTTGTCCTCCCGTGGGGCTCCTTATCTTAGGTGGCACTTTTTGCCTCTGCAGCTTCTGGAGCAAACCACCATCTTACCGCTTTATACAGCTGAATAGTTTACCCGTACAGTGCCGAGATTCATCACCTCTAAACAACTGAGAGGGTATGAGGAAGATCCCTGCCTTTGAAAGGTTAATGGAACGCCATCTGGACAGGCAAGCGCGGGAGCCTCAAGGTCACTGGTGCCATGTGTCTTATCAGAGAGCGGCCACAGACTTGGAAGCGCATAACTGAGCTGCTGAGCCGCACAGGGGAGAGGGAGGTATGTGAACTCATTGTGTGGCTGAACAATAGCCTTGTGGTCTTCAATAGAGGCAATGACAGAAGCGGACGTGGCTGCAGATATGACCTTTATCTCAACTCGAACAGAAAAATGTTCATCCTATCTGCGTTTAGGGATGTACATTAATAATCTTGCCCTCATCCGCAGGCACCACTGAAATATTGGTGAGGACTCTAAGCTCCTTTCTTCTTGCTTCTTAAGGAGCCCTAGGTGCTCTTCCAGGATGCTGACCGCCAGCCTCATCCATGAAAAAGCTAGCTAAGGATTCTATCCATGAGATGATTTAACTGTAGAGTATAAGTATGTGTATATGTGTGCCTGTGTGTGTGTGCATGCATGTGTGCACACACACTGGGGGCTGTTATTTTCCTTTTCAACCACAAAACCAGAGTGGGAAGTGTGGGAGCAGGTGGGCTGGGCCTGGCAGAAACCTCATGACTGTGTCCCCGCCTCCCTGGGCTGCGGAGGCGTCCAGAGCAGCATTTAAATTCCGCAGGCCCGGGCTGTCAGCAGCAGCGAGAGGAGGCAGGAGCGCAGACAGCATCCTCCAGCGCCTGACTCCTGGGCAGCCGCAGCCTTCCCTGCAGGACACCCGCAGAGGTAAGCCCACCGCTGGCTGCCCAGTGGCTGACACAGCCAGCTGGCTCCCGGGGAGAGCAGCTTCCACTGCAGAACTGTTAGCTTTAACTGTGGCATCATGAGTAAGCAGAATAGGTTCAGCGCAGCTCTCCCGGGTCACAGGTTTCTAAGGCATTTGGGGCCCAGTCAAATACAAAACTTAAAAATACTTGCACTGGGTCCTGAAGCACTAAAACTACTGCTTCTGGTCAGAGAAAAGTAAACGTCTTTGCAGTGATCGTTCCTGAATCATATCCAGTGTGTGGATGGTTGTGAAGGCAATTGAAAGGCTCTCTTGTGCTAAAATAAGCCAATGACAATGTTATTTTTTGAATGACATCGTTTATCTCATGATCAAGGGGGAAAGCCCTTTCTCAATACAGTACCTTACTTCTGGATTCAAAGCGCTAACCTGTGTGACACTGCTCACTATCACTGCTTATGACTCACTACCACAAAAGGACATTGTCCCTTTTTCATTTCAAATTTCTAAAGTACCTCACTTAAATAACCAGCTTCCAACATAACTGTATTTTGCCTAAGAACTATCATCATAATTTTAGGCAAAAATCATGACTGAAATGCATTTTGGAGAAAGGAAGAGGGAAAATTTCTTCCATGATTTAATTTTCTCTATGTGTTTTTCTTTCCTGAAAAATAAGAACCCTCACACAAGTTTATTTTGATTATTAAAGTTACTGTTGACTTGTTTTAGGACAGCTGGTGATATTAGATAATAGTGGGTCCTCTAAATTTTAGAGTCAGCAAGCATAGACCCATTAAAATTTTTTCTCTTTTTCTAACAAAGATGAGAGAGGGGTAGCAATACAAATATTAACTTGGAACACCAAAATGGTAAAAAGAACAGTTTTCTCTAAGAAGTAGAAGTGATTCCACAGAGCATGTGTTGCTCGTGATTCTTTCAGAATGCTGCACGTATGAAAGGCATGTTTTCACCTCTGAGGGTGACAAGTGTCCCTTACAAATATTTTCCAGGAAAATTCACCATCATGAGGGTTACTGTGATTTGCTTTTGCCTCTTAGGCATCGCCTCCTCTTTCCCAGTGAGTACAACTGAATCATAAAAAAATTCTTGAAAATAAATGACTTGTGTGCCTGAAACACACTCACATCACATTCTTTTCCTCTTTTCTTTTTTAAAGGTTAAGCAGGCTGATTCTGGCAGCTCTGAAGAAAAGCTGGTAAGTGTCTTTTGGTTCACCAGTTAAAATTATTTCTGCATTTATTGCAAGAGTTGCTATAAAAATCTATTGTAATTTTAATTACCTGTCACAATCAGGCTTGTTAATTTCCAAGTATTTATTGACTGCCTGTTATAGATCTATGAAAGTACCAGATACAGTATAGTTTTTGACAAATATAGTCTCTTGAAGCTAAAGTGTGTGTGTGTGTGTGTGTGTGTGTGTGTGTGTGTGTGTGTTTGTGTGTGTGTCTGTGCGAGTGAGTATTGAATCCAGGCCATTCACAGTGAGCTATGTTCCCAGACCTTTTGGGTTCTTAATTTTGAGACAGGGGCTTGCTAAGTCTCTAAGTTGCCTAGGTCAGGCTCAAACTTGCAATCCTCCTGCCTCAACCTCTCAGATTCTGGGATTAAAGGCGTGCATGACCAAGCCTCATTGAGGCCTTTTAATATAATAAAGTAGTGCCCCAAAGTATTGTCACATAAAATGAGTTGTATGACTTGTATGACTTTTTCTGTCCATGAACCAACATGCTATTCTGTATTTATCACAAAAATTTCATCCTCTAATGTATTTAGAGAAAAGCCGAGTTTCAAATACACCTCAGCTGCCCATCAGAATTGCTTGTATGGCCACAATGCTCACAATATCGCGTAAGATATTTGCTAACAAGCCCATTGTGAAAAGAAATCTATGCTGTTTGCATCTATTGTGCTTGTCAGATGACTTGAGATCACATTTTCCTAGCCAAGCATAAGACCAAACCGAATTCTTTATTACAATTATTCAAGCAGCACCATAGATGTACCTGCCCCTCCACAATACATGAAACCGGGCCAGCCCCACAACAAACAGTCCTTGTCCCTAGAGCTTAGACAAAAAGGCTCACAGAGCCCCATTCCAGAGGCACAGAGTCCAGGCCAGACCAGGGCTGCTGGGGTTGCAGCAGAGATCTTTCCCAGTGACAGAGCCGGAGAGGCATCCTGTGAGCCAGTGTGTGGCCTGTGTGTCTCTAGGGTGGATGTGGACGTGCATATGTTTTCTGCTTGACTTAGAACACAGGTGTGGAATCACAATAACAAGCTGAAAAAGCAACGTGCTCAGGGAAGACAGAGGCCACAGTAGAAGCAAGAATGAGGGCTTTAAAATGGAATAAAGTATGGCCGAGGTGCATTTTTCATGTCTTTTTGTCAGGCATGTTCGTAGTGCAAAACATTTTCATGTGTGGAGTTGGTACGTAAAGAAAGCCCATCTTAACTCCTTTTTCATCCTCTTTCCTCCCCTCCTTTCCCAATCCCTCCATCTCTTGCTCTCCCTCCCTGATGAGAAAGATCTGCCTCACCACCTCCCATTATCCATCTTTTATTTTGCTTTTTATTATACTTTGGGTTTCTTAAAAGGCACATGAGGCCATGACAGCAAGACCATTCAGGAGCTATATGAAGAGCTCAAAGTTCTCCCTTCTAGAATCCCAGAGATTTAGAGCAGTAGGAAATCTGGAAAAGTCTAGGAGAACACACACCTGAAGATGAGCTGTGGCCTTCTGGAATTCCTGAAAATGTTTCATTCTGTTCAGTTTTCTTATCTACATTTTCCTCATATTACTCTTAAATTATCAATTTCTTTTCTTAAAAGTGAAGAATATGTGACTTTTTTTTCCATAGCACGACAACAAACTCCCAGAAGCTGCATCTTCATGGTTAAAATCTGACCCATCCCAGAAGCAGAATCTCCTAGCACCACAGGTATTTTCAGACTTCTTACAACGAAACATCCATCATAACAGATAGACACCAAGCTGGCCAAGCCAGTTAGTTGCATGAATCTTCCCACTTCTTGGTAAATGTGTTTACGACACCAGTAGATCTGTCTTGTGGGCTTTTCCCTCGTTAAGCTCTCCACCAATGACGTTAAAAATAAGACCTGCTTTGAATTTAAATGACCTACTTTTGAACCAAAACTGAGCATGTATGGTGCACACTGATGGAATCCTTCCTTTTTCAGAATGCCATGTCCTCTGAAGAAACCAACGACTTGAAACAAGAGGTACATTCTTACTTTAATTCAAATCCTAAACATGGGAGAGCTGGAGAAAATCATCATTTGAGCTCTCTTCTGATGAAACCTCATTAGCGAGTTTTCCAACACATTGTCAGTCTAAAACTTGCGTAGAAATAAAACATGTACTTACTAAATATCAGAAATACAAGACCTTTTGGGAGAAGTTTAGTGTTGTAGTAAATGTCTACTGATTCAAAACATTAAGCTCGTGCAATTCATGTAAGATATTTTTAAAGCATCTAATACCTTATAAGCATATCATTAATCATACAAAGGCCAAAATTTTGACATGAGAGTAGTTTTGTTCCAGACAAAATAATTTAATAAGTATTATTCTTAGGACCATTAGCATATTTGTTGGCTAAGGAAATAAATTTATTTTCTTTACAATTTAATTTGATTATGTACCCATAGTTAGAAAAATTAGATAAATGGCCCATTATATTTGCTGGCTTGAAGCTGAATAGAACTTAACTGGTCACTTCAAAGGAAAGATTTGAGCTGCAGTGTGGATAGACATGCGTAGCGGTCTCCTTTTGCTTATCATAATAACATAGGGAAATTGTTACAGGTTTTGGTACACATAAAATATGGATGTCCTGGTATCTTAGAATTTTCATTTCAAATAGAAAAGTCAACCTCACAAATATGTATTTGTATCTTATATAGTAAAATTTAGTAAGCTGAAATATGTGTTTACACAAAGAAAAAAATGCTGTTGTACAAATGTTTATACTATGAATTTGACTTTAAAAACATCTATGAAAATGATTTTGATTGGAAACCAAGAATCCTTCAGTGTTATTTCCTTCAGCCCTGTGTGGAAGGGAGATTAGAAAGTGCTTACATCAGTTCCCCAAACCTTGGATTATACTGTGAACACAAAGATTCTGAGAGTAAACAAGGCAGAGACTAAAAGCCTAGTGCCATCCAAAAGGTAAAATAAGACCCAGACACTAATCTGTGGCCAGCCTGATTGCAGACCCTCCCAAGCACCTCGAATGAGAGCCACGACCACATGGACGACCTGGATGATGAAGATGATGGAGACCTGGACACCGATGACCCCAATGACGAGGATGATGCTCACCATTCCAACGAGTCTGACCATTCCGATGAATCTGATGAAGTGGTCACCGAGGCCCCCACGAATGGCCCGGAAACCCCCATTTTCAGTCCCATTGTCCCCACTATAGAAACATTTGACGGGCGAGGCGATAGTCTAGCTTACGGACTGAGGTCAAGGTCAAAGAAGCTCCACGTTTCTGACAGTCAGGTAAATCTCTCGGCAGACACACCCAGGGGTGATGACCAGAGCTTGGTTCTGGGGACCAGTCTCATGCGTATCCCTCATTCAGCAACAAGCTAAATGTTTATCAGCAATCTGCTTTATGAGCACTAACTACAAAAGCTTGTTCTGCTTGGTGGTGTTCAAGTCCACCCTATTTCTTCCTAATTTTATCTCTCAGACAGAATTGTGGTTTTCAAGCCCTGACTCTAAAGCATTGATTATAGTTACAATTTTACAGAAAAAAATTTTTTTGATAAAATAGCAGTTATTTGCAAAATATGATGCTCACATTTGAAGCTAAATACCTAAAGTATTTGCAGAGTCACAGACTAGTCTGAACCTAGAAGTAAAGGGTCTGGGTTCTGCCTAGTCTTATTTTAATTTATTTTCTCTTTATGTAAATCAGACATAACAAGACCTGTCTCCTAGTTTGCATTACATATAAAAGCAATATACATACTACGCTAGACCACTTCAATGAAAAGTACCGTACATGCTAAAGCTATTTTTTCTTAGCCAGATTTAGACGATCTTCAGTAACATCTGACCTTTAAAACAGATGTTAAAAAAGAAGTGTAACGTTCCTGTCGCTGGCTGTTCATGTAATACATCTCCTGTTTTTCAGTTCTCCGATGTCACAGACGAGGACCTCACCTCACATGTGAAAAGCCAGGAGTCCCACGAAGCACACCAGGCTGTGCTCCTTGCCCAGCACCTGAATGTGCCCTCTGACTGGGACAGCCATGGCAAGGACAGTCACGAGTCCAGTCAGCTGGACGACCTGAGTGTGGAGACCCACAGCCAGGAGCATCCCAGAGAGCACACACGGAAGGCCCGAGACCACAGCAGTGAGCACTCCGATGCGGTGGACAGTCGGGAAGGCGCCAGAGCCAGCCCGGCGCTCCGCAGCCAGGAGCACCACAGCCAGGAGCTCCGCAGCCAGGAGCATCACAGCCAGGAGCTCCGCAGCCAGGAGCTCCGCAGCCAGGAGCATCACAGCCAGGAGCTCCACAGCCCGGAGCTGCACAGCCCGGAGCTCCACAGCGTCGAAGACCCCAAGAGTAAGGAGGAAGACGAACACCTGAAAATCCGAATATCTCATGAGTTAGATAGTGCGTCTTCCGAGGCCAATTAAAAGAGAGGAAAGTAATTTCTTAATTTGCTCTTAGTAAAAAGAAAAAAAATTCATTATAGAGCATTGAGAAAGAACATGAAATGTTTATTTAGGAGGTGAATGTATATGTGTGTGGCTTTGGAAATTAATGTTTTCAATCGTTAGTTCAGTTTGTTGCTTCGTGGTAATACCCTTGTAGCCTGCAAGCTTTAGCATTTTGTCTATGTTCTTTCAATGGAAGAAATGCAAGCCCTCACTGCATTTTAATGTTGGCTGTTCTTTTATGATTGGAAATGTATGTAGAGGCAAACAAAAACACTTTCACACAATTGCAAGAGATTATAACATTTTATATCACTATAATCTTTTCGTTTTTAAATTAGTGTATATTTTGTTCTGATTATTTTGTTGGTATGAATAAATCTCAAATCTGGAATGTAATGAGTTTTGAGATGCAAATTGTGATTCTCTTTTGGGTTCTCATTTGCCGTGGTTTAAATGTGGGGTGTCACCCAAAGGTCTCCTATGCTTAGAGGTGAGACCTTTGCCAGATGACTGGATCATAGGCACTGTGCCCATTAGCGAGGTAATCTGGAGATCCACTCAGATCCGACTGTGCTGTTAGGAGGTGAGGCCTGGCTGGGGATGCTGTCTTGGTTACTTTTGTCTCCTTGCTGAGAAAAAATACCTGCCACCTAAAATTAGGGAAGGAAAGGTTTATTTCTTACAGTTCTTGGAGGTTTCAGTCCATACTCAGCTGGCTGCAAGGCAGGGTGGCATGGCTGGGGGGCAGCTTTTCACAGACCCTATGAACAATGAGACTCCAACCAGCAAGCGAAAAAGGGATATCCCTTATTCTCGCCCTTACTGTGTATGCTGGCTCCAGCCCTGGGCGGGTGTAGCACTCATACCATCAATCACAGTGCTAGACAACAAACCAATCACAAACACTAGATTCAGCCCCATCCATGATTGCATAAGACTTGAGGGGCCACTGACATAAACCATAACAGGCGTCTTTGGAAGTATGACTTGGAAAGGTATACCCCTCTTCTGTCTCCACTTCCTGCCCATCATGGTATGAACAGCTTCCCTCTGCCAGACCCCTCTGCATGGTGCTTCTGCATTTGAACCTGTCAATCATGAACTGAAACTTGTGAGCCTCTGAACCAAGATAAACCTCTGTTCTTAAGTTACAGGCGTCAGGTATTTTAACCCAACCTGGAGAACCAACCTAGAGCCCATGGTTGTGTTGTAAGGCGCACAGTGCTCCCACTGCAATCAACAGGGAGGACTTAGAAGGGAGAAGGGAGTATCTATAGAATCCAGTGTACAGTTTCCACCTGAGTGGAAATCCTCCATGGATGAAACAAGGGAGAAGTGGGGGTTGGTATTCGGCTCGAACGCTTCTAGCCACTCAGGATCCACCAGAGGGAGTGCTTTTATCTAATTTTAACATAGCTATTTTAACATAGCTGAAAACCTAGATGTGATCACAAATTCATTTTATTGTTTCTCATCACTGCCCATTTACCTTGTTCAGTAAACGTTGGTTTCCCGCCCTTGATGAAGACTGGGGTAGGTCCTGTTCCCATCACTCTCAGATAAGAAACAAGCTGTCCTTGTATAGCAGAAAAAATTTAACTGTCTCAGGTGATAAAATACTCATGTAAACCTAGATGCTCTGGAGATTTAAGTTGAACAGTCTTCAATCCTGTATCTTGCTCTTCTGCTTTTTGTAGATATTCCTTTTAGAAATTTTAGAATTTGCCATTATCTCTTGTTTCAGTTGCAACAATTCACATTTTCTTTAACTCGAGCAAATAATTTAATACGGCTGCCATGCATCATAGCTACCAGTATATGGCCTCCACCATAACTCCCAAAAGCACATAGAAACCCCTATAGCCCATAGTCTCAGCAGCTACTTACTAAATCTAGGAAGCTATGGAACAATACGAATTTCACAATTACTGGTAAACTCCATAGCTTATCCTTCTATTCTTCCATCATGATGAAGCATCATTATAACCAGCTCAATCTGCCCTTGTCAAACAGACTTAAAATTTCTCATTGCTTACTCTCCTGTCAGTTACATAGCATTAGTTATTGCAGTAATTCAAGGAAAACTTATAACCTTAAATTTCTGCAACAACAAAATAAGTAAAAGAATGAAAGTAAGGGGGCTGCGGATTTAGCTCAGCGGCATAAGCACTTGCTTTGCAAGTGTGCGGTCATGAGTTTGATCCCTGGTACCAATAAAAAAAAGAAGAACAAAAGTAAATAAATTGAATTTCCCATCTTAAAAATTAGAAAAGTGCTACAAAGAAAAAAAGTGGAAGGAAATAACATCACAACAAAATAGATAAAGCACTAACCAATCTAATGAAGAAAAAGGGGGCATGAGGATCTAGCTCAGTGGTGTAAGTGCCTACCTGGCAAGCGCATGGTTGTGATTCTAGCCCAACCTGGTACCAAAAGAAAAGAAAAATGGTAGAAGGATTTCTTTCATAAATCATAAAATAAAGGCAAGGAAACTGCCAATGAAACTTGGGGCACATTAAAGGTTATTAAATACTATTCCACTTCTAGGAATATTCCTAGAAGAACTGAAAACATCATACTATAGTGATATATGTGCACCCATGTTTATAGCAGCACAATTTGTAATAGCCAGATCTTGGAAACAACCTAAGTGTCCATCAACTGAGGAATGGATAAAAAAGTTGTGGTATTTCTATACAATGGAGTACTACTCAGCTATAAAGAATGATCACATTGAGGTATTTATAAATAAATGGACACAGCCTGAGACCATACTCATAAGCAAAATAAATCAAACTCACATGTATAAAAAAACTAATAGTCTCCCTAGTGTAAGAAATGGTAAGAATACATAAAAGTGTGCAGTAATCACGATTCCCCATTATATTGCTTGGAAGCCTTATAATGTTTTCATTCATTAGTTGGAATGGTTTTATTCTAGGTTGTTTGATTTTATTGTCTGTGATGGTTTGAACAGATATTATGAAGAAAACAAGCATTATAATAGCCAATGCTGATTTAATATCATCTTGTTTTGAAGTCCTACCAAGCTTTTGTTCTTCTGTTTCCGTTGGTTCTATCATGTTGTATCTTATTGGATTTTATTATGTGTGATAGTATAAACAAATTTTTATGGACAATGAGATAATATAGTAGCCATTGTTTATTTTCTGTTATTTGATTCTGAATGCCCTGTAATACTTTCATTCTCTTGAATGGTTTTATACTATTTTGTTATGAAACTATTGCATATTAAGGTATGCTCAACTATTTCAAAGAAAGAGACATTATGGTAGCTACTGTTATACCGAGTTGTCCTCTGGTGAAATACTATGTTGCTTAAATTGTTCTGTTCTGATCTGCTTTGTTATGTCCTCCTTTGTCTTAATCTCCTTAAAATAAAAATAAAAAATAAAAAAAGACTACTTTGCACATTGCTATCCAAATTAAATGAAAAATCTAGAAATGTTGGGTCATTTTCTTAGAAAATGCAACATATATGCTCCTTGACTTACAGTGGGGTTGCATTTGGATAAATCCATCCTCAGCTGAAAACCTTGTTAGGTCAACGCACATTTGATACCAAACATCGCAGCTTAGCAACAGTGTACAGCAGAGTCAGTCATTCCCTTCTGCGTCTAGGACACTGCTGTGGCTTCAGCACTGCCAGCTTCAGGAGAAAGAGTGGCACTAACCAGTCATGCAGGTGATCAAAGTTCACACCATGAGCGCTTTCATACTCTGTATCATTTTCATGTCTTCCTGGAAAGAAAAGGCATAAGTCAAAGCTCAGCCAATCAGGGACCTCACGTGGAAATCATCAAACATAACAGCCTGTGACAAATTTCAACATTCTTCTTAATTTTATAAAATGAAACAAATGGAGATAGTTCCTTAACTGGGTGAAATACTTTATACTTTGGCTCCCAAATCAGCCTCATACTGAGTGGACAAACATTGGAAGTATTCCGATTAAGCTCAAATATGAAGAAGAATGTCCTCTATCTCCACTGTTTTGGTACCATCTAGGGATAAAAACTAACAATAATAAGACAAAAGGAACTTTTAGATGAATAAAACTTGGGAATAATTAAAGTACATGTGAATTATATAGCATTATATTTCTCAAACAGAATTAATAGTGATAATCACAAATGCTAAGTTTGGTAAGGTACTGGTATGTAAAATTTACCTAAAACACTAAAAATTGTAACTATTTGGAGATATGTGCTCTTAATATTGAAAAAAAGTAACTACTTGATAAGACATGTGCAAAAACTATACTAAGAAAACTGTAAAACACGCCTGTGAGCCAAGAAAGAAGATTTGAACAAATAGAAAAGTAGAATTTGTAAAAACAAATTGTAAGGTACTATTTAACACTATAAAGATGCCAGCATTTCCCTAAGTAATATTATGTAATATTATTCCAGTAAGAAAGTAAACATTCCTTGGAGCTATGCAAGCTAATTCTAAAACTCATATAGAAAAGTAAGCATTCAAGTGTATGAAGAGATATTTTAAAAAGCCAGCAATAAGGCAAGACTAGCCCTAATGAATATCAAAGCCACCAGAAATAAAAACTCTCCAATAAAACCACTGCAGTACAGCCATATGAACAGACAGTCCGGCAGAAGAAGACAGTGATCCCAGAAATAGTTCCAAGCACATGAGAAGTCACTACACAATAAAAGTGATCTCTAAGAGCACTGGGCACTTTTTAATAAATGAGGGGATATCCATCTGGACAAAGACAAAACTTCATCTGTATCTTACACCATACACCCCAGGAACCTAAATAGACCGCAGATCCAAATTCAAAGGGAAACCATCAAAATATTAAGTCAACACATGGGTGAGTTGTGTCACAATCTGGATGTCAGGAAGGCTCTTCTGAGTAGGAGAGATGGTCCCCACCACTGACCCTGTGGACACCATCTGTCAAGTGCAGTGACCCCCAAGCTCCCAACACACTGCCTCAGGTGCAATCTCTTCACAGTCAACCACAGGTTAATTATGTGGTCCCCACATGCCGTAGAATCCAGGCACCCTATTTCCCACTGGCAGCAGCTTGGCACGGTGTTGAACTTCAAGGATGTGACCACGTTAAACGTGAATTCTCATCTTTGAACTGTGGTATGATTCAAACACTATCCCGGAAACACTTCTCCATCCAGCTGAGTTCACTAAGCAGACAGAAAACACACCAATAACTGAACAGGGAAATTTCAGTGTAAAGCATTATCAGCTAGAAATGGGGTTAACGAGAGACAATAAAAGACAACTCTGATGATGCCATAGGACTTGAAGTATTCAAATAAGGAACCGTTTGCTAAGAGGTGCCCTCTTCTCAAAACTCAGGTTCATGCTTCACTGGAAAGTGCAGCTGTAGCCTAGGGAATGGCAGAAAAGTTTGCTGTGTTACTCTGAGTCAGAGCTGGCCACAGCTGGTGGGCTTCCTTAGCACTCAGGCTGACATGCAGGAAACCCTGGGGCAGGACTGTTGAGCAGGGGACAAGCTAGAGAGTGAACAGGAAACGTGAAAGCCACTGGACATGGGTACAGTGCAGTCCACCTTGACTTAGGAGTAAGGAGAGGGAAGAGGCCCTGCAGGCTTCTGCAGAGGGCTTCTGCGGTGTGTCTCCAGTGCCCTCTGGGGCCGAGCTCCCTTGTGCAGCTATCCAGTGGAAGCGTGTTTGCAGGGCTCCTCTCCAGGTCCCGAAGCAGCCAGAGGCCATGGTTTAGCAGCAGGCAGGTCCCGACAGGCATGTCAGAAAAAAGGCTAACTCCTGCTCTGGGAGTGGAAGGCAACAAAAGCGTCTAGGACATCTTCTTATGATAGAATGCAAACAAGCACTGAGACAAAAGAGGGATACCTCCGCAGGACCAAAGACCAAACCTGAAGGGGGGCTTCTATCGGCCAAAAGCAGGCCAACAGAAAAGACCAAGTGCTCACTTCAGCAGCACATAGACTAAAATCAGAAACATACAGAAAGGATTTACATGGCTCCTGCTTAAGGATGACATGCAAATTCATAAAGCTTGTCACATTTTTTCAAAATTTAAGGGATAGATTCAGTGAGAATATGGAAGCTTGGAAATGATGTCAGACAGAAATGCCTGAAATAAAAGCTGAATGGAATTCACACACTGCAGAAATTATCAATGCAAAGACACAATGGTTGATACTGAGGACAAAATATGATTTCCAATAAAGAGCTCAAGGTGCCAAAGGGAAAATAAGAAAAAGAGAAGACAATCCAGCAGCAACTTGGAAACAATGAGAAAACCAATCTAAGCCTAAGTGGAGCTGAAGAAAACTAGAAGCTAGCACAGATGTATGTACTAAGTAAGTACTAAGTATGTGCTAAACAATCATAGAAAAAAATTTCCCAAATATAAATGTAAATATAAAAGAATTTGAAATACATTAAGCAATAAAGCATGAAGCAAATATGATTAAAGAAGAATTTCACTGAGGCATAGCTTTATTAAATTACCAGATATCCAGAAAGAAAATGGAATTTTAAAAGCAGTCAGAGAAAAAAAAAATACAAAGATAAACCAATTAGAATCACAACAGATTTCTCAAGACAAGCCCTAAAGGTCAGAAGAACTTGGAGTAAGCAGCAAATAGCTTCCAAACCAGATTTACTTATTCAGCAATGCTATCCTTTAAAACAGATGGAGAAACAAGGTATTTCCATGAAAAAGATGCATGAGTGCTAAACTAGCTATTCAGAAAACAAAAGTATTCTATTCTCGAAAGCAAAACAAATCAGACACAGCTAAAAACAGAGGAATCTAGTGAGCTCAGTGCCTAAGCAGCAAAAAACAAATCAGAAAAAGAAAACAAAGGATATACCAACAGGTAAAGTAGGCAATGATGTAAACAAGCAGCATATTTCAGTGCTATTTCTCAGTGTTAACGCCTCAGCTGTCCAAGTAAAAGGCACAGATTGGCAGACTGGGTTAAAAACATCTGTCGCCCCAAAGCCTCATGCAGTCAGCAGAGGTGGGCTTTTCAGAGGTGACTGGATCTACAGTGCACAGTGCTGGAGCTCGGAGTGTGATGACTAACTTAACCCTCTGACTGGTTCAGCGTAGTGCTGAGTATGGATAATGGGAAGGCGCACCCTGGATGTGTGCGGCACCGTTCAAAGGGCAGACGGCCTGGAGGGGATAAAAGGAGAGCAGACTGCTGCGGATGCCACCGCTTCGCACCTGTACTACTTGCTGACTCACTCTTCTCCGTCTTCCGCTTGCCATGAGCTGATTTCCCTCAGCAGCGCCCTCTGCCACCACAGCCTGCCTTGGAGCAGCCAACTGTGAACAGAAGCCTCTGCACACTCAGCAATGAGGAAAATAACTAGGACACCAATATCACCTTGATCCCCAACCAGACAACTAAGAAAAGAAACAACTCAGAAAGACACAACTAAGACAGAAAACCACAGGCCAATCTCCTTAATGAACAGAGACCCAAAAATCTTCAACAAGATACTAGCAAATAAAATGCAGGACATTATCAAAAAGATTGTACAGCACAATCAAGTAGGTGTCCTCTGACATGCAAGGATGTTTCAGTATGTGTAAGTCAACAAATGTAATACATCACATAAGTTAGAAGAAAGGTTAATTTTTAAATGATCACTTCAATAGATGCAGAAGAGGCTTTCAACAAAATTCTACACCCTTCAGGATAAGAAAAAGACCATGAAGAAAACTGATAGAGAAAGACCATACCTGAATATGATAAAAGCTGTCTGAGACACACAAATAAGCAGCATCATACTAAATGGGGAAAAATTAAAGAATTCTCCCTAAAATCAGGAAATGATAAGGATACCCACTATCACCTCTGCTATTTAACATAGTACTTGAAACATTAGCCAGAACAATTAGTAAAGAGAAAGAAATAAAAGGGATATATACAGAAAAGGAAGAACTTAAATTATCATTATTTGCAGATGACATGATACCTGTCACAGGAGACTCACAAAAAATACTCATAGAATTAATAATCAACTTTAAAAAAGTAGCAGAATACAAGAGCAACACATGAATAATCATTAGCCTCTGTTTACACCTATAATTAAAAGGATGAGAAGTTATGAAAATAATACCATTTATAACTGCTTTGAGAAAAATGAAATACTTAGGAATTAGCCCAACCAAAGAAATGAAAGACCCCTACCAGGAAGACTACAGTACCCAGAAGGAGATTTACAGAGGACACCAGAAAATGGAAAGATGTCCTTCACTCCTGGACAGTTCAAATCAATATTATCAAATGGCCATACACCCAAAACTGTTGCACACATTCATTGCGGTTCTAGTTAAAATACCAACAGCATACTTTACAGATCTGGAGAAAATAATACTAAAATTCATGGAGTCAGAAGAGACCCACAAAAGCAAAGGCAATTCCAGGCAACAAGAGCAAAGCAAGAGGCATTACAGTGTCTCGCTTCAAGCCATGTTACAAAGCAATAGTGATAAAAACGGCATGGTACAAGTAAATGAAAAAACATTCAACATTTCCAGTCATTAAAAAAAATGCAAATGGAAACAGCGCTAAGATTCCATCTTACTCCTGATGAACGGCAATTGTTAGGAAATCAAACAATAGCAAATACTGGCATGATTGTGGTGAAAAAGAACCCTTCTTCATGGTCAATGGAAATGTAAACTAGGACTGCTATGATGGAAATCAATATTGGTATTTCTCAACGAACTGAGATTAAATATACCATACAGCCCAGCTACCCACTGCGAGATATCCCAATAGAGCTTAAAAAACATCCTACAGTGATACCAATGTTTATAGAGTGCAATTCATAACAGCTAAGTCCTGGAAACAGCCTGTTTACCCATCAGCAGATGATCGGGTAAACACATATGCTGTTTATGTACAATAGACTGCCACTTTGCTATGATTAAGAATGACAAATCGGAGACATTTGTAGGAAAATGGATACGCCTCGAAAACATAGTGTTAAGTGAAATAAATCAGACACAAACCTTAAATAACATATGGTAGCTCTCGTTTGAGTGAAGCAATGTACAAACAAAGACAATAGTAACAGGCTGGATAGAAGTGGATGAGGAGATGGATCTCTCGCAATAAGGAAGTAGTTCAAGGGAAAATCACAAGGCGTGAGGAGGATGTAAAAGGTAAATAAGTAGAATAAACATATGCCATGTACAGGAGCCTAACAACTTCAACGAGTGCAACACGGTATGGGCCATAAGAGGAGCTAAGATTAGAAAGGTCCGTGCTGGTATTGTTCAGACAGTTAACTGCAGCTAGCCTGTGCTCTGAGTACTGATTTGAAAACAACATACAATGCATAGACCATTGTTATTCCCCCCACCCGTTATTGTGTTTTGTAATTTTGTTTTATTTTTCTCTTTAAAATAAAAATATATTTTTAAAAATTAATAATATTGTTAGGAATCAAAAATGGGATGGGGGAATTGGGAGAGAAAGGAGACAGAGGGAAGGGTAAAGGGATTGTAAAAAAAAAAGCTGTGGTATGTATATGTAAGATTGTAAACTGCACAAACTGCAAACATGTACTAATAAACAAATAAATAGATAAAAGCAACAAAAGTAATAAATTATAACAAATCAAATTATTTAATTCCATTAGTATATAGTGATACTGTAAGACAGAATAAAAGAAAGGGAATTCTTCATAGATGATTAGGAACTAATAGTGCAGAAGCAATGGTGAAATTAAAAAACCTTTTCCCAAGCTATAGTGTCATTGATTGAATCACTGATAGATGTTAAAATTACCACACAAAAAGTGATTGGGAACAGGTGCCAGCCTGGTCTTGGTCATCCCACAAGTGACTCAAAAGGAAGGGATGGGGGTGTGGTTCTGGGGTAGAGCACTTGCCTAGCACCCATGAGCCTTGCTTACCTTGAACACTGCAAAAACAAACAAAACAAGAAAAGAGAGCAGGAGAAAGGAGGTTTTATCAGAGAGATTTGGTAATCACCATCTTGATGTAATCACCCAATTTAACTTACTAATTAGGGCACAAGATATGGCTCTCTTAATGTGATAGAATATAAAACATCAAAGATGAAATATTTCTGTAAAAAATATTTTAAGAATCAAATCAGTTGGAAAGCAACAAATCCAGGACTTTAGCAACTTACTCCATAAGATGACGGGCTTGAGTTTCTAAACTGTAAGCTTACCAGATAAAATATAAGTGTTCAGTTAAATTTGAATTTCAAAATACAACAGATCATGTTTTAGCATAACTATAGAGCATGTCACACTAAAAGGTGACTCCTTGCTTACCTGAAACTCAAATTAACCGAGTGTCATTCATTTTTATTTTTAATTGGTCAGTCCTACAAAAAGACTTATTTAAAGAGAAATGTCAAGGGAGGAGTTAGAATTCTATATTCAAAGTTTAAATGAACATAATCCATCAATGAACTTCTATTGCTTTCTCAACTGAAAAAGACACAGGGTTATTAAAAGTTAGTGAACTGATCCATTCCAGAGGCTGGGAAGCCTGGGATGAGTGTCCCCCACATCTTACCCCTAGCCCAGCTAGCTTGGGACCCTCGCTCAGTCCCGAACAGGGAACTTCGTGGCTTCCTGTTGCACTGGACCAGCTTGGTGGGTCTTAAGCTGGCCTGCCCCACCCCCAGTGATCCTCTCTCAATCTGGGGAACTGAGTGGCCAGAGTCCCAGGAGCTGAGGGCATAGAAGAGGGTTTCAAACAAACCCTGGGAAGCCTTGGAATAACACTTGAAAAACAGAAATATAGAAAATGACAAAACAAAAGACCAAATTACAATCTCAAACCTAAGGTTTCCCAAGAAACCTTAGGAACTATGTACATAGAAGAAAATATATGTCATACACATGAAATATTGGACATAATGGCAACTGAAATAAAGAAGCAACTCTGAGAAGCTTTAAAAGAATTCAAACTAGAAATATTCTCCCATGTAAAAGAAGAAATGATAAAAGAAATGAAGGAGATGCTGAACATATCTAAAGAAGACACAGTTAAAAAATT